GCTCCAATAAGGAAGGTGAAAAGAGTGTCTTAAAAAGGAGAGTATCTTTAAAGTTTTACGACTTTTAAATGTACATAAAAATAAGTAAATGATGCGATGTCGGGCAGGTCTTTGGGCCTGCCCCAGTTTTCAAAGTAAAGAACTTCCTGTTTGGTCATAATTCTTAGATCTTAGTATTTGCAGCCTGCAAATGTGAGTGTCCTCCAAAAAGATCTTTCAGTGGAATTTTCCTTATATTGTTTCTTTGTAAAATTATATATAAATCAAATACTAAATGATCCTTAATTAGAGGTAGAGTTTTCTCAGGTCAAACCCTTTCCAAAGATCTGAGAATGGAAATGTATCTTACTTTTATTCCCTAGAAGCTGTATTCCCAAAAACACCATGAAGTGCTTACAAAACTCCTCCTGCAATCAATGATCCTTGATTTCCAGACAATCCCTCAGAACTCTACATTTTATGCTACTACTATCTGCAATGTATACAATCTAAATGACTCTTTTATCTTCCAAGTCCTTGGGTTGGACATATCCTTATGCAATAATCCCTTCTGATGGTGCACCTTCCCCTTTTGCTAATGTTTTATTATCTCCTCGTCATCTCTGCCTCATAAACTCTCCCTTTCAAGACGATTCCGCGCCCTCCCAAGCCACCACAGGAGTCTTGGCCACAATTAGTCTCTTGTCCCATAACTGCAGCTAATAGTTTCGTAAATAGTTTTTGGCCAATATTTACATGAGTTTGCCTCCGTCTACTGTTTGCTGTTCTATCTTTTTGTCTTCTGCTACCATTGTGAAAATATTTGTCTTCAAATGGTGGCCCATTGTCTCTTGGCCGCTGACGAGAAGAGGCATCGGCATCGGCATCGGCCCTCTCGCTGTGCGTACACGTCCGCTGCTGCTGCTGCTGTCCGCGAGCCATCGTTGACGTGCGTCTGTCTCATCCTCTGGTGTTTTTTTTTTTTAAGGTATTTCGTCTGGCAGTCTGTCTCTTAGTTTTTATCTCTTTCTGTCTCTTAGTTTCTGTCTTTTTCTGCCCTTAGTTTCTGTCTTTTTCTGGCATACAGTAATACCTCTCTATCTGCCTTACAAAACGTGTTCATTACAATCCTCCGTTTGTTAGAGCGCTGCTGCTGCTGTTGCCGTTGCTGCTGCTGCCTTTGCCGCCGATCGGCCAAATGTGTCAGAGCTGAAACGTCATGATTAATGATGCAAACATGTGGGCCCTGGTCGTCCGTCTCCGTCTCCGACTCCGACTCAGAGCCGTAGTAGACATCGCCCCGGACTCGACTCGGAGACGACTCGGCTCAGAGACAACGATGAATGCGTTTACGAGGGCAGAGACAAAAACAGCCCGGGGATAGGGCAGGGCTTGGGATGGGTCTGGGGTCTGGGGTCCGGTCTCTGGTCTCTGGGTCCGAGGTCTCTGGTCATGGGAATGGGAATGGGGAATCGGTACAATTTTATCAAGGTAAATTAGAAGACGAGACCAAAAACACGAGCACAGCACCCAAAATGTAAACATCGAACACTCTCTGAACATTAGGCGAAATTAGAAATTAATCCTGCCACTGCTGCAATCGAGGGGAACGGGAACGATAGCGGGAACCCACAGTTGCAGAGGGAGTGGAGAGTGTGTCTCTGAAGGTCTCTTCTGCATGGGGGAGTGTTTTTTTTTTTTTGGTTGGTTGTCTGGAGGCGGAACTTTAGAGGTCAGGGCAAAATTAATGGTAAATCCTCATGACGGACAAGCTGGCGCGTAGTCGTCATAGATGATCTATTCGTAGAGGTTGTTGGAAAATGTAAAAGAACAATTGAGGAAGTCTCAAATTATATTGTTGGACAAAAGGATATGTACAAACATTAAATTTAATGTGGGGAAAAGTTTAACCATTAAAAAAACTATTAAAATAAAAGATAAGAATAAACGTATGAGAAGAGTTCTTCTAAGAAAACGTCTTTGAAGAGTAGGAAAGTTGAGACATATTTTGGTGGGAGGTTTGTATCTATAGCTTTAATATTTTTCTTAATTTATTTTAATACTCATGGAGTAATAGTTTTTTGAATTAAACAAGATCACTTATAACGGAAATATGTTCTTGATTTTTTTGTATATATAATCTTTAAATAAACTTCAACCAAGAAACGAATTTTTTGCAGTTTTTTAACAAATTTTGTATTCTATTTTACATATTGTAAAAATAAAAAATCCTCTTTCTACACAACAAAAATTAAAAAATACGTTTTTTGAATCTAATTGTTTTTTTATATTTATCAAAATAAATTATGAAATTTAAGAATTTAATTTTTCCCTGATTATAAATACAGTCCCTTAAAAGTGATAAATTCTCAAATTTCTATAAATATTTCATGAATAATGCAAGGCGAAGTCTTTATGCTATCTCTAAACCCCGCAGAATTTTTTTAGGAAATTAAGAGACACTCTCCACTCTTCAAATTCTAGCGTATATTTTTGTCGAGTCTTCAGAAGTGTTTGGTTTTCCATGTACTTTATAGTCCTCTATGTATGTATTATATGTATTGTATAAGCCTTGCATATCCTATGGCTTTTTGTGTGTTCGTGTTGGCTCGTTGTGTGTGCATTAGAATCCTTCTGTGAGGTAACCAACCAACCGACAAGCAGCCAGCCAATAACCACACGACAATGCCCTGACCTCAACGTCAGTCCTTACACAAACACACAAGGACACACGTTCCTGGCCAAGCGAATGGTTACCGTTTTGCGGCTGAGAGGGAGGAGCGGGTGGAGGGAGGAGGTCACTCTACACTGGTGGTGGTTTGCATGGTACGGGACTGGTGTGTGTGGGGCAACCGATACAATAATTGCTCTGGGGCCCCGGTCTTTGTTGCGGTCTTTTGCCGTGAATTATAAAAAAAAAGACCAAAAGAAAAAACTACGAAAGAAAGAAGGAAAAAAGCACACGAACAAGAACCGGCTATATAAAAAAAGCCGCCATGCCATAGCCAAAGCCATTCATTCATTCATGCTCGTGCATGTGCCGGTGCTTCAACACACAGATACACACTCGCACAGGGACACACACGGGGACAACATGGGGACACAGGGGGGCCAAGTCATGCAATGGTCAGGAACCTCTGACATGTTCTTTTCGATCAGACAACGACCACCACCAGAAAGGCCACGAAAAAAAAACCCAAGAGAACTTCCAGAGAGGGAAAGAGAGAGCGAAATGGATGGGGGGAGGAAGGGCGGTGGTGGCCCAGTGTTTGTCATTGTGGGTATTCATGCAAGTGTTGCCCTTTCCATGTTTCAGCGTGTCTGTGTGTGTGTGTGTGTGTGTGGAGTACCTCAATCATGTAATTATTTCCTCCGCAACAACCGCCCCTCTACCAATACCACAAAAGCGGAAAGAGAGCGGAGGGAGAGCGAGTAGGTGAGTACTGGTCAGGGGAGAGAGCGTGTTTACAGGTACACTGACAAAAAAAGATACAAAATTAAGAAAAGAAAAAAATAAGGGGCTTAGAAAACCCTGGATATCCATACAACATGGGCAATAGACATTGGCTTTTGATGAAACTTTGAATCTTCAATGAATTATTTTTGATTGAAGAGTATTTAAGAATAGACCGATTGTTTGAATGACATTAAATTATATATATCATTTAGTATATCAGGGTATATATATATATCACTTAGTATAAAATATATTTTCTACTTAGTCAAAGCTTTATTAAAGAGTAAAGCCATCGTCTTAGATACTTAATCATTTCCATTTCAGGTTTAAAAGCCAAACGAATATAACTATAATCAATCAAGATTTAAATTTAAGATATCTTTCTATTATGCATTTAAAAAAGTTGTGCGTACTCGTCGTTTCCCGCTTTTTTAACTCATATCGGCCTGAGCAAAGCGCGTGAGCCGGGGGCTGAGAGGCGAAGCGAGTGCGTAGGGCCCTGGACCCATAGTTTTCTAATATGAAGTATATCTATGGATTTACTAGCCATAAATATATATACATATGTACAAATATACCACAAAAACCTTATTTATTCTCCAGAAACCATACTGATTTTCATCTTTTTTTTCTGTCTGTAGAACTAAGCCCAAAAAATGGTAGCGTGTTTGGTTCAGCACTACCTTACTCCTCCTCCCCTGCTATTCTCCCCCCTGATAAGTAAACAGCAACAAAAAATGAAATAAGAATGGTCTACATATACATACATACATATATACTCATATACTTATATTTCTTGTGTATTTATGTATTGTGTATTTATGTACCTCTCCTCAACCTTCAATGTCTGCTGCCAGGCATTAAAAAACTTTTCGTGTTTTCGTTACTCAATTTAATTCAGGTAAAAATTTGTATGTTTTTTTACTCTCTCTACCTCGCTGTCTCTCTTTCGATTCTCAGTTTGTCTCTGTATCCCCTCCCCGTTCCCATTCCCATTCCCATTCCCGAAGACCAGTCAGACTTAAACTTTGGTCACGAACATGAAAAAGCGACGTTTCCGCTGAAACCGTCTCCAAAATGGTCGTCCGCTTGATTGGTTCACTTTTTTTTTGTTTTCTTCTCTGTTTGGGTTCACTTTTTTTCTCAGTTTGGGTCAACTCTAGATGATTTCGATACACAAAATGGTCGTCACAAAAAAACAAGCCCCTCAATATATTTCCACAGAATTGATATAGTTTTTTTCAAGGGAAATTATTATACAATTATTGAAATTTCATGAATTTCGTTTTGCGGTTTTTTGGCAGAGATTTCTATAGGCTGGCAAAAATGTTTTTAATAACATTTAATCAGGGCTTTTGCGGTTTTTGAGGGATCTACTACCTTGAAGTGAAGTTTCTGTATCCTACAGCGAATGCAAAATGTATCTTTGGTGCTTTTTTTTGGATATACTCGTACTTTCAAGCCAATTGGAAAATGTTTTTGTTTTGTGGTTGAAAATATATTGTATTTTATGTTGCGCAATGGATGAGTAATTGTTTTGTTTTCTTGTAGGGGAAGTACTTACTTATGGAGTTATCACCTGAAATGGAGAAGCAGAAAGGGAGTTTCGATTAGAAAATTACAAGAAATCATTTGCAAGGAGGTGCTTACAGGATTTATTTGGAGTATTTTTCATTAGTATATGATGAATATTTTCTTGAAATAAATACTGAGTAGGAAGTTCTGTATTTTCCAAGACTATTTCCCACCGAAAATAATTTAATTCAAATAAAAACTCTACTTTCTATCCCCCAAAAACTTATTCCATCTTTAACTGTTGGAATATCGTAAGATAACTGCCAGACAAAATGCCAGTCATACTCATGAGCTTCCTTCCATATAGAAATGGGATTGTTCGCTGATTATCGAAACAAAAATATTTGCTAATCATGCAGATGGTGCCCCTTCTTCTGATGCTGCTGCTGCTGCCACACGAAAAATATCAAATATTGCTTATGAAACTGCATAAACTTGGGCTGCCCCAAACCCCAAACCCCACTCGGAATTAAGTTCCCGGCCAGACGCTATTATTTCCGACAGCATGATTTTATTTGCCTTCCATCCACCCATCCACATCATCATCATCTTCATCATCATCCAACCCCTTAGCTTCCTTCCAATAATAGACTGCGGAGAGAGCCCGAACTTCTCTGAGACATCCTTGGAGTGGGGCTTTGGCTTCCCCTCTGTGTTTTTCCTATCGAAACTTCTCAATTAAGTACTGGGGGACCAGGAGGAAATTGTTTGGGGGTCCGCTTGACCGCTCGTTACGTGCTGCATGTGTCGACTGTGGCAACTTCCGCCTTCTCAAAAACTTTGAGGTTAATTATTTTCCACTTTTGAGCCAAACTAAACTTCAAAGAAAGAAAGTTTTGCTACATCCCACATGAGTGTAGCGGATTCTTTATGGAGCGTTCTTTCTCTGCTGCAGCCCAAAAAAAAGATACATAAAGAATGCAGATACTTTGTTGCAACGCAGTCTGCTGCTGCCTTTTCAGGTGACTGGAAACGATGTGGCAGGAGTCTTAAAATATTTACACACTTCAATGAATATTTAATGATATTTTTGGCATTAAACCAGTCTCCCATAAGTTTTCATAAAGTCCTTTAAAGGCTGCTTAAAAGGGACAAAAAATTGAATGGATAATCGATAAGTATATGAAGAACTAAAGAACTTTGCTAGAGACAGAAACTAAGGAAGGGATAGAATATAGGATCAGTTCAGAAATAACATAAAAACATTATATATTGATTTCGAAGTCCCTCGTTAATAAAGTTCTATGCCGAATTCCAAGTCAAGAACTGTCCATTTTTGAGCATAATTAGAGTACATCTTCATCCACAGTTCCGTGTTAATTCGATCTTTCTATCTATCTCCCCTTATTTTATAATTGAAATATCTTACGTGCCACTCCATTGAACAACGCTTTCATTACGTTCTAGACTTTCCCTCGTTCCACCTCAAAACACTTTCTAATCATACTCAGAGACCATTTACCTAATTGAAAAGAATGTTGGGAAAGAGATCCGTCCATCCGTCTATAGGTGAATATTTTTGCAGTTTAAACTTCGGATTGAAGGCAACGCCTTGGACAGTTTTGTTTTGGGAGAGTGTTACCGTTTGGCCATTGCCATTCGTTTCATGACTGACAGCCGGGTAGGTGTGACCATGCTACTCATTCATTCTGACAGTTTTCCCACCCACTCTTGCACACGAAACGCAATTTGTTGGATTGTGGGCTGTGCCCCATCGAGAAAAGGTACAACCACCACCACCACTACGTCTCAAAAAGGGAGGGGCAAGGGCAGGGGCACAGGAGGCAGCAGGCAGGCAGGCAGTCAGGTTTTGGAGGCTTGTGGCGCCAAAAAGCATTTCTCGCAGGTCGCAAGTCGCGTGTCTTTTTGGCTCAGTTCTTTCTTTTTCTTTCGCTGGTATATTTTTTTGTTTTTTGGGATTCTTGCAACTAATTTTCATTTCCAGCAGAGTGCACCTTTCGCCAGCAGACAATATAGAGAGGCTAGAGAGCAGCGGATGGGGCTGGAAAGTGAAGGAAAATCTTATTAAAAAGTGAACAGAGTGCGATAAAATTGAATTTGCATTCAAAAGCCATTAACCGCAGCAGTCACTCAGTCCTGCCTCTCCCCCAAAAACCTACTCTCCCACTCTCCCCCTCTTTAGTCTGTCTTTTTGGCGTTGAATTAAAAATAAGAAGTGGAAAATCCTTGAACCGCAGCTTTAATGGAAAAAGCAAATTATTATTTCAAGCACATTTTTGGTGCCGATATTTTTGCATTGTTGTGACATCTGTGGGGCCATAAAATACCATCCATACATACGTGATATATACGCCAGATATATCCAATAATTATTCTAAATATCACTCGACTGGAAAAATATTATTTTAATTGCATATCAATTTCACGCTCTTTAGGCCCCCTCCAGCGAAGCAACAAATTGTTCGAAAAATCATTTGGCCAATGATCTGAACGATGGCTCCCACTTTTCCACCTTTCCACCTGCCTTCCCTCACCCATTTTGGCCACCCAAAACCCACTCATCATATTAAAGCTAAACGATTTTGGGCTGCCCCCATTATAAGGCTCAGGGAACCGTGGACCCCAAGCCCATCCCCTCCTCTTTATTGGTTCACGATTGTCCCACTTATTGCTGATATTTTTATGGCATGTTACATCTATCACGTTCCATTTGTCCACGTCCATGGTGTCCATGGGTGTATGTGAATTTTAATTAATAACTCCAAAAAGAGTTGTAATTACCAACGAACAAACGTATACCTATTTCGGTTTGTGTTTTCTGTGTGTGTGTGGATTTACATTTATGTTACAGACATTCAATTATTGCAGTTTATTATTCAACGCGAATCATTCGTTTGGTGGCACCTGTCTGTGGCTTTTCATTTGTATTGTTATGTGGAGTTAAATATATTACTTCAGGAATTTTTAATACGCTTTGGGAAATATTTTAAGGGAAATATTAAATGCAAGTCAAAGAAAGGCCTGGAAACCTATGCAAAATAAAAAAAAGCATTTAAAATGTATTTTAATCACATTTCCATCTGATTATATTATTTAATAGCCTTCAAAACAAGTATTCAAAAAGTAAGAGCTCTTTCAAAGCCTCTTACCAGCTCTTGTTAGGTCAAATCTACATTAAAATAGTCCCAAAATGCACCTTAAAGCCTTAAGTCCTGTCCAATCGATCAATCGATCAAGCATCTGATGCAAGATTGACATAATTATTGCTCTCTTGGATTGCTTTCGCTCATCGCATGTCAATTAAAATCACGATTTTCAATGCAAATCAATCAAAGACTTCTGGACTTCAGAAACAACAATTGATGTATGGGCTCGTTTTTTTTTGGCAAACATGTCAGACCGTTTACAGATGACAAATTCATTTTTAACACGACACAAAAGTGAAAACCGAACCAGGGAGAGATACAGATACATAAAGAGGGGGATACTATATGCTCTGGCTTAATCATCAGCAATGAGACATTGCATTGCAGGATGCCCAAAGAGAGAGAGAGAGCAAGAGAGTCGCTTATGTGAAATGTCTGACATTTGACTGCTCTCCTCCTTCGTCTATCTGTGTATCTTGTATCTGTAACATGTGCATTCTATTCGTAGCATATACTCGTATCAAAAATTAAAGATTCCCTTGCTAGACTCCTGTTAAACGGAAGCTTAGCCTCTAACAAAAAAAGGTCAAGTCCAAAATGATGGATGATGCCTTGACACTCACTGACACACACAAACCTCACTCTCTCACACACAGATACAGCACTCACTCACACAGTGATATGTACATCTGCAGCAGCATCCCCAAGTGACAGCTTTTTGCTCCGTTCCGCCCTTTTTCGGGGTTGGTTGCCAAAGAGCAACCTCTTCTTGGAATACACTTCCACAAAAACCTTATCACTCAGGTAATATCCGCTTTCGAGACTTGGTCTATCCATAATTTTCGTTTATCATCGCAGCGAAATCCCATAAATAATAACCGTTAACACAGTGCTCAACAAGCCACAAATTAAAAACTACAAGAACCACTAAAAAATGTGTTTCGAACATTCTTGGGAAAATTTACGACCAACGGAATCACGTGTCAACCACGCGCGCCACAACCCAACCCCAACCCCAACCCCCACCCCAAAACAACCTCTCACCTCTCTCGAAAACGGTAACCCAAACTCAAACCGAATCCTTGAGGATGAGGCTGGAACCCCTCCTCTATGTTTTCAGGGGCTTCCGCAGCTGTAGATATGATGCATGACTCGACGGAAAGCGGTGTGTCGTCGCCGTCGTCGTCCTCTCAAGGATATTCCCATTCACGTGCTAAGCGTATGCGAAATTTTAAATCTGTTTGCCACCGAATGAATCCGTATCCGTTTGGTGAATTTGAATAAGGAATGAAATCCTTACTGTGGAAAGTCAACAGGCACAGGCACAGGCACACAGTGAGAGAGAAAGAGAGGCAGAGGCGATGACAACACACATAAAATCCATTTTCCACACAAACATTAGTTTTATTTAAATCAGAGACACAGACACACACACACACACACACACACCGCCTGTAGGGGTTAACCGGGGGTTATCCAGGGGTTACGACGTTATCACATGTGAGAGCGTGTGTGTGTGTGTGTGTCCGTGTTTTCTCCTGCCAGTGGCTGTTTGTGTCCTTGTTGACTTTTCACGCTCTTTTAAACGCCGTTAAATATTTTTCAGTTTATTGCCTGTTGTTCTTGTGGCTGCTGCCTTCTGGGGGAAGACCTTTTTGTCTGAGTTTAACATTAATCAGAGATTTAAACTAGGTCTTCATATGAGATATATTTATAATAAATTAATGCTTTTTGGGGTGCGATTTTCGGGGGGTGATGTGTCATAAGAGAACAGGAAATAACTTGAATGGAAAATGAATCTCTTTTGAATGTGGGATATCTTAATTAAAGAAGGATATTTATTATAAGATTATGGAATATATTAAAATTTTGTTGGGATCATATGAAAACTTACGGA